TGCGAAGTCCTGCCATTTCCACAGTAGTCTGTAATCAAATGACATATTCATATGGTAATTTCCATATTGTTTGTAAAACATGTTAATGCAACCGTTGAATATTCTAATAAAATTTCCAAGCAAACTTAAAGAGCTTCCTTGATCTTCCCATAACTAGGCTTGGTTAAGGAGAGTGGTTCTGTTAGAAGAGGCCAGTGATGTACCCAGTAGCCCATCATTGTGTGCTGTGGAGTGGAATTTAACTTTAGGAATTGGAGGGTAAGCAGAGACCACTAAACCTTAGTTTTACTTTTGTAAATAGTAAAATAGATCTAAACTTCCTTATGCAAAAATTATTATCCTTTATATTTTGCATAAGAAAAAGTGACCTGAACACTTTTTCTGGAACAGAGCTATTCTGATAAACTATGTTTGCATAGTTTGCTTTCCTGCTTTCCATGATTTTGCTGAATTAGTGCACATTTTAAACCAACGTTCAAGATATATAATTCCAGGCCGGCCCAGTGGCGCACTCAGTAGAGTGCAGCGCTTGGGAGTGCGGCGGCGCTCCCGCTGAGGGTTCGGATCCCATATAGAGACCAGTCTGCTCACTGGTTGAGCGCGGTTCGGGCGCGACACTGAGGATTGCGATCCCATTCCCGGTCACTAAAAAAGACAAAAGGGAAAAAAAAAAAGATATATAATTCCTAAGTTTAATAGATATTTATGTATTTTAAAAATAATTATAAGAAGTAGACTTTTGATCATTTGAAAAATTTGAAAGCACTCAGCTGTCCAATTAGCTCATAAAATTTAGTAAATTGGCATCACTGGCATCTTAATGTCCTAGAAACACGAGTGTCAAGTTGAGGCTAACTTTGCACAGACTCACTAGAGACATATTTGTAGCCCACCTACATTATATGTGTACATATACACAATACATATACATATATAAGTTAAAACTCCACAGCACTTTCTGGATTCCCTCGTGAGAAAATTACAGGATTTAACTGGAATGAACTAACTATGGGATTATGGCCAGTTGTAACTAAGAGAATTTTATCGTGTGCTGATCACTAGGTATCAGGTTCAGCGTAAAACAGGTGGGGCGCTGTGGAAAGCTTTCTGGTTGTCAAGGTGATGTTTCTACCGAGGACACTTCCTCTGCCATTGCTGTGGCATCTCAGGCAGTGATTGATCAAACTGGAGCTTCAGCCTGGTGTGCTGACAGTGAAGTGTCTGTGATTCAGCTTTGCTCTTTGCAAAACCTAAAGGGATATTTAAGACAGAATGTGCCTTAGATAGATATGATGGATGAGTTGCCAGGAAAGCAATGGTTTGGGGAGGATTATGAACGTATGACCCATCTTCCGGATGCCAGTTACTCCGTGGGAATGAGTACCTGAGCTTCCCAAGAAGGCCACTTCTGTGTGCTAAATGGGGTGTGGGTGGGGGGATGAGAGGAGGATAAGGAGATGAGGGCTGTGTGAAAGGAATTTCTAATTTTGTTGGCAAAATGAGGAACTCCCTCAAGAAGCAGCACCAATAACCCAAAACAGCACATCACAAAACGCTGGTGCTGCAGGAGGTCAGAGGACAGGGTGACTCACAAGGATTGGAGGAGTCCAGAGGGCTCTTGGGAGGAACAGCAGCTTCAGCTCCACCTTGGAAGGTGGACAAAGTTTCCCTAGGTTTGGAGGCTGAGTTTCTGCCAAGAGAAACAACAGGAAAGAAAACCAGAGGCAGCAATGAATAGATACAGTGTGTTTTGTGGAGCTGAAGGGTGATGAAGAGTAGTGGGAAAAAAGAAAGTGTGCCAGGTGTATGAGAATATTAGGCCTTCCCAAAGTAAGGCGGTCAAAGATTTTAATCTTGGGAGTGGACGATGGAATGGCAGCCATTAAAGGAAGTAAGTCTTGCAGAGTCTGTGGGGGGATTAAAGCAGGGGACAGATGAGACTCCCCCATGCAGGCCGGAGGAAGGTAAGGACGAAGCTGTGGAGTCTGGGGACAGAACCGTGGTACCTGCTTGCTATGACCAAGTAGCTCAGGAGGGAGGCTGTCAATGCAGAAACAGTGGGCTGGGAAACTTGCGTCTCTTCTCTGGGACGGTGGTGGTCAGCACCGTTGGCTTTGGCTGTTTGGAGGCAGGGGGTGTAGTCAGCCTGTCTCTGATTCTTTCTCTGGAAGCACACGTGGCATGTTGATGCTGATGGAATCCAATGTCCGCAGCAAGCACTGGCTGCAAGTGGGCAGTGGTTGCTGCCTGGAGCAGTTTCCTCTCTGTCTGGCAAACAATGATGCCTTCAGAGTATTTAAGTTCTGGTGGGAGTGAGTCTCTTTAGTTCTTCTCTTAAGGCATTTCTTAGTGGTAGGATACCAAGTGCTCTTCAGTGTCGCACCAACAATTAGGAGAAAGGAAAACCTTACTGCTTTCTAAGGAATAATCCATTATTTTTTCCAAACAAACCAGACATTTATTGTCATTTTTTAGGCAACATGGAAGACGTAAATTGTAATAAGGTGTTGGTTGACCACAAGGAGCTCGTAATCCAGCAGAAGAGAGAAACGAGATTATATAAAACCTGTAATGTGGTAGTATAATCCAACAGTGGGCTCGCTACCCGGTGCACACAGAAAGCCAAACTCTCTGACACTGCTTTTGTGAGAAGAAAGAGCTTTATTGTGTGGCCGACCAGCAAGGAGACAGGCAAAGCTCCAATCTGTCTCCCATCTGTCTGGGGTTAGGTCAGCCTTTTTTTTTTTTTTTGTCTTTTTCTGTGTCCGGCAACGGATCGCAACCCTCAGTGTCGCGCCCGTACCGGACCGGGACCGGCAACGGGATCGCAACCCTCGGTGTTGCCCCCGCGCCTCGCTCAGCCAGTGAGCGGGAACCGGTCTGCATGTGGGATCCGAACCCTCGGCGGGAGCGCCGCCGCGCTTCACAAGCGGCGCACTAGCGCAGTGCGCCACCGGGCCGGCCCCAGGTCAGCCTTTTATGGACAGTGGATGGGTTGGTATGGGGAAGCACTGGTGGGGCAGGTTTTGACTGGGTGAGCTTTAAGGTTGGCTATTTATGGAAAGGCATGGAATAGTGAGTTTCAGAGTTTCAGCACTGGAACTGCCTGGACAAAGGACCCCTCGCTTCTGAAAGGACTCAGGAGTTTCAGGTTCAGGTCATGTCCTGGCCTCCCTGGTTCCATTGGTTCCTGGTGTTATTTGGAGGACAAGGCTTTTTATCGATTGTGCATGCCCAGGCTGCATGATTTGCAGATTTGGGCTCTGCTCCTGCAAGAAAGCTTAAGCAATGGTTAAATAATGGACCAGATTGAGTTGGTCCCACGGTTATAGTAGGGTGTATAAATGACCATAAGTGAAGTGTAGACGTAGGGGCCAAGGGAAAACTTCCTCTTCACCCCTGAAGTTTCATTAATAAAAGACACTGATAAATTTTGATTGATATGGAGAAAAGGCATTTATTATTTTAATGTGATGGGAGGGGCAATGCGTGGGGTAATCACAAGAGGGTAATTTCCGAATTTTCTAGTGGAGTGCAGAGGTTTATATAACAATCGTCACAGGGGAGAGGGAAGGAGAGCAATGTAGACAATTCTCTTGAGGAACAGTAAATGATTATTAGGGGTGAGACGGAGAGGCAGATATAATCTTGTGAAAAGCCCCATCCGGGTGTGGGGCCCTCCAGTCTCCAGTCCCTCCTGGGTTTGTTCTTTCCTGCTTATCTGAGGGGGTTCCTAAGGAGGAGACCTTAAGACAATTGCATTTCTTTTGGAAAGCTTTCTTAGATAAGTGCTTGGGGTGAGAGAAACAAGACAGGGTTAGAGGGACTTTAAATTCTGAGGCTCCTTTCTGAGACCTTTTAATTTTCAAAGCACTCAGCAGGCCAAAGCACCATGTTTTGGGGAACAGTTTTCTGCACCCCAGTACAGAAAAAGAGTGAGATGGCATTTGAGAAGCCACACGCTCGTTAGCAGGAGTTTTACTCAGTCTTCCATGGCTGAACCTTGAATAACTCAACCAGAAGGTCAGGAGACCTTGATTTTAACGTTGCCTCTGACATTTTGTGTTATTTGACCTTGGACAAATGGGAAAATTTTGAATTTCTCAGAACTCAACTGAGGGTGTAGTCTGGCCTTCACTCCATCTCTCCTGGAGATTCCAGACGTCCCCGGAGGTACAAATATCACAGTGAAAAAAGCATGCCACCTGCTGGACTTGTATCAGACTCACTGGTTTTGTGAAAAAGTGGTAGGGCTTACACCATCACTTCCCATGTGAGGGGGTTCAGTGGCCCCCAGACGTGTGTTTGAATGCATATTGCCCAGCAGATTCAAGTGCCATGCATTCTTGAAGCCTTCATTAAACCAAGATAATGGAAAGAAACCAAACAACAGTGTAGTCTCATTACTTTAAAGCACAAAATATGTATGAAGTTACAGCAGACAGAGACACACAGAGTTTGCTGTCTCTTTGCTTTAAGACAATTCCTTTGTGTCTTATGCTACATCAGAGGTGGGACATATGTGGGTGAGGGGAGGAGCTGGGATATGGAGAGAGGACCCCAGTGGCCTGGGAGGGGGACTTCCTCAGGTTGGGTACCTGTACTGATGGGTGGGTCCCTTCCATGTGTTGACCTAAGAGAAACTGAGGACGAATATATAAAGCATGGGATTTATTGAGTCAACATGATGATTGCAACTGGGGAAATGCGTAGGTCACATCACTCTGAGAAATGTGCCGTGAAGTGGGCCAGCAGAGCTCAGCATTTTATAATCACACGAGAGAGAAGAATCAAAAGAGAGAAAACAGATCCCCCCTTAATCCTTACAGCAGTGTTTATATTGGTACACCATGTGTAGTTCTGGGATTGTTACTAGGTTACATACTCCATGCAGGGATCTAGGGTTAGGATTTGAAGAAACATTCTAGGTTGTTTTATGGCTTTCTGGTGCCATCATGTCTGCTTCTAAGTAAAAATGGTCTCATGATAATGTTTTCCAGGACAGGTGGACGTCGCTACTGACTTATTCCAGATCTCCCAAGGCACGACAATTTAGCTGACTTGGTCAGAGCAGAATTTTTTTGTCATCACATGGCATGACTCCACAATACGACCTTGTAAGGTACGTGCATGCAGTGACAGGAGCAGTGACAAGCCTTCTCTGTGGCATACTACCTCCCAAGCAATGGTGTAACACAAGCGGCGTATGCTGGATGGCAAATGAGTATGTTTAAGTAAACTTTCAGATGATATCTGGAGAAAATAATGTTTTAGGAATAAGTTTTGTAATAACTTTGAAATCTCCTCTCCTTTACTTTTAGAAATAGTTTCTCTGACAACACACTTTTATCAACACTTTTTTGGCTTAAAGCTGCAGTATTAAAATATGAGACAAATAAGTACCCCATGATTGCCACTTTTCATCCACTTGGGCACACAGAAGAAATGTACTTATGAGAATTTCAGGTAGATTTTTTTTTTTTTTTTGTCTTTTGTCTTTTTCCGTGTCCGGCAACGGATCGCAACCCT